GGTTTCTTTTGTCAATTTATTCTACTTGTACATGCAGAAAATGTGTTTGATTTCTTCTTATTTCTTTTATGGCCAAATGAAATCATGAAATCATGTAGAACCATCGGATTCATACTTCTTCCACTATCAATGGGCCGGATCGTCAGTGACACCAAAGTATCACATTTTTTTTAGCATTGTGCCTATTGATGGTAGTAGCAATCACTGTTATTTTAGTTTTATTTTTAATTTATAAATAAATTATGAAATTATTTATTGAATAAATCAAATATTTATTTACGTTTATTTTGTACTTAAACAAATTATATAAGGGTACACCTTTTTTTTTTTTTTTTTTTTTTTTTTTTTTTTTTTATATCTCAAAATCAGCTTATAGACTAATGTGTTTCAAAAGCTACAAAATGAAACTTTTGGAATCCCTTTATAAATATGATTATTTTATAATCACCTTCAAATTTAATCAATTTTAGAAGCTGTTTACTAAACACTTTTATTGTTATTGCTTAAAAATTAACTGATTATTTCTTAAACTACAACACTCCTGACCACACACTTATATAGGTGCGTTTGGTTCGGATTTATATAAGATTATTATGGTAATCTTTGTATAATTTTCAATTGAAAGAGAAGTGATTTTCCAACCCTATTAATTTGTTCAATAGTCCCATCTTCAAAATAAAGAACGGTAGAATTGTAATAATAAAAATAAATAAAATAAAGGGAAGTGATTTCTGAACCCACTCATTTTGTCGTCCACACCCACTTTTTTTTTTTTTTTTTTTTTTAAATGAGAATGTAAATTTATGAATTAATTATGATGTTGTACATTTATGAGTTAGTAATGATTATGAAGACGGGAGTAACAATTTATGATAGGAAAGTTGCAGATAGAGAGTACAGAAGGAGAAGAAATTGTTGAAGGAGACACAAAGTATATATAATTTTTTTCTCCATAAAGTAGGTTCTTTCGCAGCACCCACTGAAAAAAAAAAAAAAAAAAAGTCAAATTGAAATTAGAGTTAGGACATAATTCTTAAAAGTTATTCGCTGAAGAAATTGTTGTGAATATTTTGAGTGTCTAACTCAAAACCCATTACTCTAGTTCGTTGTTAGTTTCCAGTAACAAGGATTCAGGAAATTGAGTATAAGAGTTTATACTAGTCTTTCAATATTTATTAAGTTTTGAGTTTTAAAAGAGTTTGAAATAAGGATTGATTAAAGAAAATAAATAACTAAAGGGAAACACAAATTCAAAATGGAAGATAGGGAGGAAGGAAGAAGAGACAGAGATTAAATGCAGAGAGAAATATGAATGTATTGATGATTTTTTCCTTGCTTTACATGTCAAGTATAAGTGTGTTTATATACAAAGTTGCAGATATTGTGGGATGTAGATTGCAGGTTTTAATTGATTTGCTTAACTGGTCTTCTGATTTTGGGGAGAGAAATCTGCACTTCTTGTTGAGGTAGTTTTGAGCTCACTCAACATCCCCCCACAAGCTGATGGTTGGAACAAACTGTTAACTTGGACCTCAACAAGTTGAAACGTGTAGACAAGAGACCTTTAGTGAAGATATTCACTGGCTAATTAGCTGAAGAGATAAAGTGAATAGAAAGTTGTCCTCATGCTAGTCGTTCTCGAATGAAATGATAGTCAATCTCAATGTGCTTGGTCCGAGCATGGAAAATTGGATTCGCCATGAGATATAATGCCGAGAGGTTGTCACACCAAAGCGTAGGTGGATGAGGAGGGAGAGTGTGGAGATCATGCAGGAGACATTCAATCCATATGAGTTCAGTGGTGGTGTCAACAAGGCACTTGTACTTGGCCTCTGTGCTTAAGCAAGCAACTGTGCGTTGTTTTTTGGAACACCAGGAGATAAGGTTGCAACCGAGAAAAACACAGTAACCACCAATGGATCGACAGTCATCACGGCCACCAACCCAACTAGCATAAAAAAAGGCGTGCAAAGTAGCTGATGGACTCAGAGTAAGTCGTAGGCCAAGGCAAGGAGTGTCAAATAGATAGAGTAAAATGCACTTGACAGATTGCCAGTGTAAAGTAGTAGGTGCATGGACTTCTATTCCAAGAAAATAATGGATAGGGCCCAAATCTTTGAAAGTGAGCTCTCATTGAAAGGATTGTAGTAGACTGGAAGATGGTGCTTTAGGGGATTTTGTGAGAATGATGTCTTCTACATATACAAGAATGATGATAATCTATTCAGTAGTGTGAAGGATGAATAGTGAGGAGTCTTCACTAGAAATTTTGAACCTTCGGCTTGTAAGATACAAATTGAGCTTTTGGTATCAAGCTCTATGAGATTGTTTGAGCTAGCTTGTAAAGTGATCGTCAGAGATGACACACATGATGGCACCTGTTGCGTCTATAAACCTTTGAGGTTGTACGATGTAGACTTCCTCATTCAGATGAACATGTAGAAAAGTGTTGGAAACATCAAGTTCGTGAATTAACCATCGTCATGAATAAGCTAGGGCTAGGACAATGCGAATGGTGACCGGTTTGGCCACTAGACTGAAAGTTTCTGTGTAGTCAATACCGTGGTGCCGATAGATACCTTTTGCTACCAGTCGGGCTTTGTATTGTTCGAGAAAGCTGTCAGCACAGAGTTTTATTTTGTACACCCATTTGCATCCTATTGGTTAAGCATGAGAGGGAGGAGGTATAAGGTTCCATGTCCCATTTTTTTTATCAAGGCTGTATATTTTGTAGCCATAGCATCATTCCAATTGTGGTCATGAGAAATGTGAGTGTAACATGTGGGCTCGGTGTACGGGTGAGCTGAGATTGTTAATGCTAAAGTATGTTGATTGATGAGAGTCTGGTGAGATATAGTACCATCTTTCAGCAGGTAACCATTGAGTGGGTAAGAGTACAGTGTTGGACGACCGTGGATGAGAGACGCTAAGGCAAAGACTGATTTGATTATGTGTGAGTTGATTATTAAGGCTATGAAGGGTCTGTATCCATTTGGGGTGATGCTAATGGTGGGGCTGAGAGAGAGTCACTTGGTGAGTGTGGAACTGGTGAAGTTGGCAGATCGACAATCAACCTTAGGAAATTGAAGAATCAGAGTTGGGGAAGTGTTTTCTACCGATTTTGATATAAAATCTGGCAGAAAACCACCTAGAACTATTGGCAGAAGCGGCGACAGTGTATAGGATTTGAGAGAAAATTTTTGAAAAATGAAGATGATATGAGGTAAGAGAGGATGAAGAATGGAGATGATGTGAGGTAAGAGAAGATGAAGATGAAGATTTCTTGCACAGGAGCAAGGAAGAATGAAGAATGAATTTATGAATTTTGATCTTTGTGACCTGGTTTTGTCACTGGGTTCGTTGGACTGGCGGTTCGTTATTGTTCCACCGGTCCAATCCGATCATAGGCAAATTCGATATTTTTGGTTAAATCGGACCAGAGTTGGGACCAGTTCCTGGTCGGATCAGTTGATTCGGCTGGTCCGATCGGGTTTCTAATCATTGGTATACTTAATAATGTAAGAACCAAATGGTAGGACTAAGGATAACATAAATTAAGTTTCTAAGTAGAGTAGATGACATATTCCCACCCAAGGTTTGACGAAATCCCAAGTTGGTAGCCCATGTTGCATTTATTCTAGATTCCCACCCTTAAAGTGACGAAAAAATGTTTGATATAACAGTAAAGAGATAAATTGGTCATTTTACATGGGCGGCGCACATTAGCAAACTGCTGCCTCCAACAGTCCTCCAGTGCACGTTAGTAGACGTCGTCCCAGATGTTTTTTGCCCTTTTTCTGGTGATTCTTCCACCTAAAATCACCATTGTCACCACCATTTGAACCGTTTTTCCTGAACCCCCCCCCCCCCCCCCCCCCCCCCCCCCCCCCCCCCCCCCCCCCCCCCCCCTCCTCTACAAACCCATACCTTTCACAACCCCTCATCACTTGTTTTTGCCGGTTTTCAACCGTTTTGAACGGCCAAAACCCTAACCACCACCACCACCACCATTTGACTCATCACATCCTCCCCTACAAAACCCCTAACCTTCCTAGCCATAGCAGCTCACTGTTTGTTGTCCACCACTTCACCAAAAAAGGGCCAATGAACACAAACTTTCGACCGGCAAACAAAGACGAAACGGTTGCTGGGGACATGGGGGGTTTTATAGATTTAGAGACGGTGGTTGCAATGGTGGTGTCCAATTGGATTTTCGCCGACAGAATCGACCGGAATCCAGCGAAGAACACCGAAGCCCTAAGCCTAACGGCGTCGACGATTGGAAGGGCCAATGAGTCGGGAACCAGAGGGGTTTTGGACAACGGACTATGGGGAAGGTGATGGTGATGGAGGTGACCACGGGGTTCGACGCTATCGGAAATAGCCCAGATCAAGCTGTTTTCAACGAGGGTGTGTAGCGACGAGGGTGTTTTTGACATAATTTGAAAATAAAATGGTAAGTTTTATAATTCTACTAATTTTGGGGTTAAAACACAATTTATTAATTTAGGGTTAAGGGCATTATGGTAATTGCACCCTTTAAACCCTAAAAATTGCTAACACTATTATTTTTAGGGTGGGAATTTGGAATAAATATAACCTAGGATACCAACTTGGGATTTCATCAAACCTTGGGCGGGAATATGTCCTTAACTCTTCTAAGTATTTCTCAAAAGACAATCTAACAACATATATATTGACAATAGTGGTAGGGAATCCATTTTATGATTAGCCAACTAGATCAAAACTTTCAAAATAAATAAGAAAGAGAAAATTGTTGATTAGTCCATCTAATCTTAAAATAATATTTCCATGAAAACAGAGTTACGGGGATCCATTTGTTCTTCATATATTTTTTGTTATGCAAATAGGACAGTAACCACACACAATATCAGACAATATTTATTGTCTCCATGTTTGAGTTTCATTTCTTTTTAATTAAACATTTTGAGTATTTTCTTATTTTCTGAATCCATATATTACAAACATAATTGCATACACTTGTTTGAACAAATAAAATTATTATACATAGGTAAACAGTTCAAAGCTATTTATAATTGTAAACATAAGATGTTGAATCAAGCTAGAGGAATACATACTTCTACAAAGTGAACGATTCGGCCGAAACTCCATTAGAGCTGCATATATGTTTGAAATACAAATTAGCTCAATTATAATGACCATCTTGAGGATTATAGCATCCAAAACCAAGAGATTTACAATTTGAAGGGTTAAAGTTTAGAGAAATTACTATGTACCTTAAAAACAGGATTGCAACTGAGCATTAATGCTTAACATGCGGAGAAGAAGTAAAACGTATGGTTCCTTCCTCCTGTCAGTTGGAGGGATTAGAGTTTAAAATACAGATATTCCATTCAAGCTTCTCCTAGTACACATAAATGTAATAAAGTTAACGAAAGTAAGGAAAAACTAAGAATAGATTGGATTTTTAGCAGTTCAAATACTTTCATTTTTTAAATTCATATAAATCAATCCGATTGTTAATTGAAGGTTTGACTTGAACCAAATATGTATTTAATGACAAATTTTCCTAATTATTAATTGAAGAAGAAGACTGAGATGGATTAATCATACCTAATTTTTGGTTGATTTGATAATCTTTCCATCAAGTTCAATCTTGGGGATATGAGCAATCTTGGGCCAATCTTCCCCTGTTTCCGGTTCGCATCTTTCACTCAAGTAAGGACAATCTTCAATTTGTAATTCTCTCAAATCAATCAGACAATTAAAATCCATGGGCAAAGATGACAATTCTGGACAATCCCCAATATGAACATCTTGAAGTGATTTGAGATCCTGCATTGACTCTGGTAACGCCTTGAAGTTGGAACAATCTTGAATATTCAAACTCTGCAAAGTGTTTGCTGAACCTTGAAGAAGCCACTGTGGCAATTCCTCCAACTGTGGTAATTGTAGAATAAGAAGCACTCGAAGGTGAGCTCTAGGGATATTGAGGTCTTGATGATTGTCTTCCCTTTCTGTTCCCATGCTCAAATCAAGATTAAGCTTTTCACAATCAACCAATATCAAATTCTCCAATGAGTCTAGGTATTTTATACCATGTGGTAATGAGATTAGATTCGGACAACTTACAATAAACAATGATCTAAGGGCTTTTAGATAACCAATATCTTCAAATAAATATTCTAAATTCATACACCCGTCAATTCCCAAAAAGCGAAGAGATTTTAAGCACCCAACTCCATTCTTTGATAGAAACCTCTGTTTTGTGGTAAGCAAAAACATTTGGAGGTTAATTAGGTACCTAATGTCTTTCGGCAACTCTTCTAATTCTTCACAACCACCAAGCATTAGAGTCTGCAAATGTTGAAGCTTGCAAATGGAATCAGGGAGTTTTCTTATTTTATTATTTGATAGATCGAGATATCTTAAATGCCTCAAATCACCAATTCTTTTGGGCAATACGTCAATTCCAAGGTTATCTAATCTAATCACCCGCAAGAACTTGAACCTTGAAATGCACGATTCAATGAATTCTTGGCTAGCTCCCTTTCCTTCATCTGCAAAGGAATTAATGGATCTCAATTGACCTAAATTGGATAAAAAGCTTGGAAGATTTATTTTGTGTGTATCAACATCAATCAAAGACAAATGTCGGATTGTTCTGGTAAAACATTGGTCACCTAAGTTCAATATTAAGCACTCGTTTTTCATCAATGACATGGCAAGATCATGCATCAGATCATGCATTTTAAATGTATAAAAACTATACTTTTGTTCAAAATCTTGGAAGAAAGATCTTGACTATCGTAGCTAATTAGCTGAAGAGATAAAGTGAATAGAAAGTTGTCCTCATGCTAGTCGTTCTTGAATGAAATGATAGTCAATCTCACAGTGCTGGTCTGAGCATGGAAAATTGGATTCGCCATGAGGTATAATGCCGAGAGGTTGTCACACCAAAGCGTAGGTGGATGAGGAGGAGAGTGTGGAGATCATGCAGGAGAAATTCAATCCATATGAGTTTAGTAGTGGTGTCAACAAGGCACTTGTACTCGGCCTTGTGCTTGAGCAAGAACTATGCTTGTTTTTTGGAACACCAGGAGATAAGGTGCAAGAGAAAAACACATAACCACCATGGATCGACAGTCATCACGATCACCAACCCAACTAGCATAAAAAAAAGCCGTGCAAAGTAGTGATGGACTCAGAGTAAGCGTAGGCAAGGCAAGGAGTGTCAACTAGATAGGTAGATGCATTTGACAGATTGCCAGTTTGAAGTAGTAGGTGACAGACTTCTATTCCAAGAAAATAATGGATAGGGCCCAAATCTTTGATAGTGAACTCTCGTCGAAAGGATTGTAGTAGACTGGAAGATGGTGCTAGTGGGATTTGGTGAGAATGAGTCGTTATATACAAGAATGATGATAATCTATTCAGTAGTGGAAGGACGAATAGTGAGGAGTCTACACTAGAAATTTTGAACCTGCGGCTTGTAAGATACAAATTGAGCTTTTGGTACAAGCTCTAGGAGATTGTTTGAGCTAGCTTGTAAAGTGATCGTCAGAGATGACACACATGATGGCACTTGTTGCGTCTATAAACCTTTGAGGTTGAACGATGTAGACTCCTCTTCAGATGACATGTAGAAAGTGTTGGAAACATCAAGTTGGTGAATTAACCATCGTCATGAATAAGCAGGGCTAGGACAATGCGAATGGTGACCGGTTTGGCCACTAGACTGAAAGTTTCTGTGTAGTCAATACCGTGGTGCCGATAGATACCTTTTGCTACCAGTCGGGCTTTGTATTGTCGAGAAAGCTGTCAGCACAGAGTTTTATTTGTACACCCATTTGCAGCCTATTGGTCAAGCATGAGAGGGAGGAGGTATAAGGTTCCATGCCCCATTTTTTTTATCAAGGCCGTATATTTTGTAGCATAGCAGAAGACCAATTGGGGTCATGAGAATGTGAGTGTAACATGTGGGCTCGGTGTACGGGTGAGCGAGATGTTAATGCCAAAGTTGTTGACGGCTGAGAGTGGTGAGATATAGTACCATCTTTCAGCAGTAACCATTGAGTGGGTAAGAGTACAGTGTTGACGACGTGGATGAGAGACGCCAAGGCAAGACTGATTTGATGTGTGAGTTATTATGAGGATATGAAGGGTCTATCCATTTGGGTGATGCTAATGTGGGGTTGAGAGAGTCACTTGGTGAGTGTGGAACTGGTGAAGTTGGTAGACGACAATCAACCTTAGGAAATTGAAGAATCAGAGTTGGGGAAGTGTTTTCTACCGATTTTGATATAAAAACTGGCAGAAAACCACCTGGAAACTATTGGCAGAGTGGCGACAGTGTATAGGATGAGAGAAAATTTTTGAAAATGAAGATGATATGAAGTAAAGAGGATGAAGATGAAGATGATGTGAGGTAAGAGAAGATGAGATGAAGATTTCTTGCACAGGACATAGGGAAATGAAGAATGAATTTATGAATTTTGATCTTTGTGACCGGTTTTGTCACTGGGTGGTTGTGACTGGCAGTTCGTTATTGTTCCGCCGGTCTAATCCGATCATAGGCAAATTCCATATTTTTGGTTAAATTGGACCAGAGTTGGGACCATCCTGGCGGATCAGTTGATTCGACTGGTCATCGGGTTTCTAATCATTGGTATACTTAAAACCAAATGCTAGGACTAAGGATAACATAATTAAGTTTCTAAGTAGAGTAAACGACATATTCCCACCCAAGGTTTGACGAAACCCAAGTTGGTTGCCCATGTACATTTATTCCAGATCCCACCCTTAAAGTGACGAAAAAAAGTTTGATAAACAGTAAAAGGGTAATTGGTCATTTTACATGGGCGCACATATTAGCAAACGCTGCCCTAAAGTCCTTCGGTGCACATTAGTAGACGGTACCTCGATGTTTTTTTGCCCTTTTTCCGGGATTCTTCCACCCAAAATCACCATTGTCACCACCATTTGAACCCCCATCCTCCCTTCTACAAACCATACCTTTCACAACCTCTCATCACTCGTTTTTGTCGGTTTTCGATCGTTTTGAACGGCGAAAACTCAACCACCACCACCATTTGAACCTCGCATCTCCCCTACAAAACCCCTAACCTTCCCAGCCACACAGCTCAATGTTTGTGTCCACACTTCACCAAAAAGGGCACTGAACACAAGCTTCGGTCGGCAAAACGACGAAACGGTTGCTGGGGACATGGGGGTTTATAGATTTAGAGAAGGTGGTTGTAATGGTGGTGTCCAATTGGATTTTCACCGACAGAATCGTCGGAATCCAGCGAAGCACCCAAAGCCCAAGCCTAACGACGCCGACGATTGGAAGGGCCAATGAGTCGGGAACTAGAGGGGTTTTGGATGACGAAATATAGGAAGTGGAGAGTGATGATTATACGCTTCAGTCCAGTATAAAATAAGGAAGACCCCTTCATTAAGGGGAGGGGACCATTTTTCATACAGGAAAAAGAAATCTCTCTCTCTTGTAAACTTTTCTTTGACTTTTTCGTCTGATGTAAGTCAGCTCGCGACCGCGATCTGACATCCACTAATATCAATACAAATCAGTGGACGTAGGACTTGCTACCTTAGCATCCGAACCACTTAAAAAACTCCCTCTACAGTTACTCCACTTTTTCATATATTTCATTTTCGCGTGTATCGAACAGCCAATCAACATTATACACGTAAAAATTCGTTGGTGTAAAAATTTAGCATCAACAGTGCACAATCGAAAGCTGTTAAATTAATTAAAAGAAAACTGGCGTTTAATTAATATAAATTAATAGCTATAATATAGTGTTACAAATTGTAATAAAATATTTAAATACTATAGCTTAACCAATGAAACAAAATAGTTGAATGGATTACCCTTCACCTAACCATATAATAGTGTTGGACTTGGAACAAGAAACATGAGATGATTCAAACTTCAAAGCGATCCTTTTTTAGAGTGGGATGTGGGATTATTATTTCAATACAGTATGTGTTTGGCGTTTTGTTAATATGATGGACCGTCCGATCTCAGCCACAAAATTAGCTTGCACTTATCTAAAACACCTACCACTTCATTTGATTATTCATTAAATTATAAATTGTGATAATCGTAGATAACCTTTTCCTCTTATCATGATTGGTGCCTCTTTATATATACAACCTTTCTTGTTTAACATAAAGTGTGTTTATTCTTAAACCCTTTTAGAATGTGTATAAAGTTTGATAATCAAAGGAGCCTCAACTAACAATTTATGTGTTCACCCAAATTCCAAAAATAAATAGTAGTTACTTGTTTATGTGATCATTGTATACGTACCTTTACAACCTAAGCTGGTTTCTTCTGTTAATTGATTCTACTTGTACATGCAGGAAAAGTGTTTGATTTCTTCTTCTTTCTTTTATGGCCAAATGAAATCATGTAGAACCATGAGATTCATATTGATCGTTTTCTTCCAATATCAAAGTATCACATTTTTTTAGCGTTGTGACTATCGGTGGTGCCAACAATCACTGTTATTTTAGTTTTATTTTTAATTTATAAATAGAAATTATTTATTGAATAAATCAAATATTTATTTACGTTTATTTTGTAATTAAACAAATTATATAAGGGTACACTTTTTTTTATATCACAAAATCAGCTTATAGACTAATGTGTTTCAAAAGCTACAAAATGAAACTTTTGGAATCCTTTTATAAATATGATTATTTTATAATCAACTTCAATCAATTTTAGAAGCTGTTTATCAAACACTTTTATTGTTATTGCTTAAAAGTTAATTGATTATTTCTTAAACTACAACATTCTTGACCACACACTTATATAAATGCGCTTGGTTCAGAGTCATATAAGATTACTTGGTAATCTTTGTATAATTTTCAATTGAAAGAGAAGTGATTTGCCAACCCTATTAATTTGTTCAAGAGTCCCATCTTCAAAATAAAGAATGGTAGAATTGTAATGATAAAAGTAAGTAAAATAAAGGGAAGTAATTTCTGAACCCACTTATTTTATCGTCAACCCCCACTTTTTTTTTTTTAAATGAGAACGTAAATTTATGAGTTAATTATGGTGTTGTACATTTATGAGTTAGTAATGATTATGAAGACGGGAGTAACAATTTATGATAGGAAAGTTGCAGATAGAGAGTACAGAAGGAGAAGAAATTGTTGAAGGAGAGACAAAGTATATATAATTTTTTTCCCCGTAAAGTAGGTTCTTTCGCAGCACCCACTGACAAAAAATAAATAAATAAATAAATAAAAGGCAACTTGAAGTTAGAGTTAGGACATACTTCTTAAAAGTTATTCGCTTAAGAATTTGTTGTGAATATTTTGAGTGTTTGACTCAAAATCCATTACTCTAGTTCGTTGTTAGTTTCCAGTAACAAGGATTCACGAAATTGAGTATAAGAGTTTATACTAGTCTTTCAATATTTATTAAGTTCTGAGTTTTAAAAGAGTTTGAAATAAGGATTGATTAAAGAAAATAAATAACTAAAAGGAAACACAAATTCAGAATGGAAGATGGGGAGGAAGAAAAAAGAGACAGAGATTAGATTCAGAGAGAAATATGAATGTGTTGATGATTTTTCCTTTGCTCTACATGTCAAGTATAAGTGTGTTTATATACACTTTAGGATGTAATCTTATACAATCAAAGTTGCAGATATTGTGGAATGTAGATTACAGGTTTTAATTGATTTGCTAAACTGGTCTTCTGATTCTGGGGAGAGAAATCT